CCATGTCCCTCTGATTGGAAACAGACACTGATGTTTGCACTTCTCGCTCCGCAGGGGCTGGAGGATCCAGAGGTTGCATGGCAGGGCTAATTTCATTCATATTTAATGTCCAACTTGTTATTGATACAATCTTTACACACACAAACAAGCTTAATATCTTTAAATCACAGCTTCTAGTAGTAGTTCTATGCTCTGCAAATGTGTTATCACATGCTGTTTTTGGTTGCAGGTGGTTCAGAAGTAGCACTCAGGTCTTAGCTAGCTGAGCTTCCTGCTATCCTCATAGTGATTATTATTTTATTGAATTATTAGAAAAGGTTTTTTACCAACACTGACCCTGCATTTCCTTCTAAAATTCACCTTTGGCAAGTATAAGCCAAGTGCTTCCGTCCCCCAAGCTGTTTGCATAAGTGTCAATGTTCCAAAGACAGTGTGTCTTCTCTATAATTAGTCTGAACAGTACATTTTGCCTTCACAAAATAGACCCCTTTGCTGCAGCTAATTTGAAGTCAAAGCACCACTTAAACACTTGTCTGAGGCCATTATGGAACCAGAAAAAAATGGAACCATTTGCCACAAAAGCTTGACCTTTTATGTTAAATTACTGATGTGGTCAAATGGAAACACACTGGAATCCTGCGTGTTTTATTGGTAAAAAGATTTGTATTTCATACTCAAATAATTAACATTTACTGACAGACATTTTTTATTAAAATGTATTTATTTTTAGTTAAAATGTTGGGAAATACACCATTCTTCTTTTCGAGAATATTTTAGCAGTTAGCCTAGCTAGCGTGAAGACCCAAATCAGGGAGAAACAGCTAGCCAGTCTATCTCAATTTAAAGCTCATTAATTCATGCATATACCCCGTTTAATTGATGCATAAACAAAAATGTAAAAACAACAATTTGTGGATTTATGGGGAGTTACTGCATGTGTTTCCTCAGAAAAGCAGGGAGTAGTGAAGTCCCAGAGTGTTGCCTTCACTGTGAGGTTGTTGGGCAAGAGACGTACTGGATAGAGGGATAAAATGTTGTTTGTCAAGAAATAATTCAAGTAGTCCACCTAAACAAATGAGATACAGCATGTTGATTAGTGAACTATAGAAGTGTCGGTTGGCGGAGGAGGACTGTTTCACTCTGCTATTAGTCATTATGCTAAGGTAGGCTCTAGGTATAGAGCTCTAGCTCTATACAAGATGATATTGTTTTGATCTTATCATATACTGTTCTTATTGCATACCATATAACATTTTTATGACTCTTTTAATGGCATACTATAGTATAAAATAGTTTGTGGCATTTTCATTGGATACTGTACTATTGTGTTTCTTATGACACCTTGAATAACATACTATATTATTAAATATTTTATGACAGTTTTTATGGCATACTATACTATGACATTTTTGGGGTACGAAATATGTTTATGTTTCCTGAAATGTTATTGTGTTTTGAACCTCAGGGCCAGTGTATAGTATATCATTTTTGCTCCTCTGCATTTGTTTTCCAACTACATTTACTACTTACTTTTAAAATTAAGAGTTCACATGAAAATATATGATAAGCTTATATATATACAGTATATACAGTTGTGTGAAAAAGTGTTTGCCCACTTCCTGATTTCTTATTTTTTTGCATGTTTGTCACACTTAAATGTTTCAGATCATCAAACAAATTTAAATATTAGATAAAGATAACACAAGTAAACACAAAATGCAGTTTTTAAATGAAGGTTTTTATTATTAAGGGAAAAAAAAATCCAAACCTACATGGCCCTGTGTGAAAAAGTGATTGCCACCCCCCCCTGTTAAAACATAAATTAACTGTGGTTTATCACATCTTTGGAAAGCTCAGTTCAATTTCTCTAGCCACACCCAGGCCTGATTACTGCCACACCTGTTCTCAATCAAGAAATCACTTAAATAGGACCTGCCTGACAAAGTGAGGTAGACCAAAAGATCCTCAAAAGCTAGACATCATGCTGCGATCCAAAGAAATTCAGGAACAAATGAGACACAAAGTAATTGAGATCTATCAGTCTGGAAAAGGTTACAAAGCCATTTCTAAAGCTTTGGGACTCCAGCGAACCACAGTGAGAGCCATTATCCACAAATGGAGAAAACATGGAACAGTGGTGAACCTTCCCAGGAGTGGCCGGCCAACCAAAATTACCCCAAGAGCGCAGCGACGACTCATCCAAGAGGTCACAAAAGACCCCAGAACAACATCCAAAGAACTGCAGGCCTCACTTGCCTCAATTAAGGTCAGTGTTCATGACTCCACCATAAGAAAGAGACTGGGCAAAAATGGCCTGCATGGCAGAGTTCCAAGACAAAAACCACTGCTGAGCAAAAAGAACATAAAGGCTCGTCTCAGTTTTGCCAGAAAACATCTTGATGATACCCAAGACTTTTGGGAAAATACTCTGTGGATTGACGAGACAAAAGTTGAACTTTTTGGAAGGTGTATGTCCCATTACATAAAATATGGTGGTGGTAGTGTGATGGTCTGGGGCTGTTTTGCTGCTTCAGGACCTGGAAGACTTGCTGTGGTAAATGGAACCATGAATTCTGCTGTCTACCAAAAAATCCTGAAGGAGAATGTCCGGCCATCTGTTCGTGACCTCAAGCTGAAGCGCACTTGGGTTCTGCAGCAGGACAATGATCCAAAACACACCAGCAAGTCCACCTCTGAATGGCTTAAGAAAAACAAAATGAAGACTTTGGAGTGGCCTAGTCAAAGTCTCGACCTGAATCCGATTGAGATGCTGTGGCATGACCTTAAAAAGGCGGTTCATGCTCGAAAACCCTCCAATGTGGCTGAATTACAACAATTCTGCAAAGATGAGTGGGCCAAAATTCCTCTACAGCGCTGTAAAAGACTCATTGCCAGTTATCGCAAACGCTTGATTGCAGTTGTTGCTGCTAAGGGTGGCCCAACCAGTTATTAGGTTTAGGGGGCAATCACTTTTTCACACAGGGCCATGTAGGTTTGGATTTTTTT